TGTATACATGAGTCAAGTAATACTTCTGCCAACATTAGATTTGTAAATTGTTTTTACTTTCATCCAGATGTTGGGTTATGGGTTTTCTCCGGAGTTCATTCCATTATGAGTTTCAGTCAGTGACTTCACTTGACTCCATCTCACTGTTTCTGGGTAATTATTTCTTGGCAAAGACGAGTTTCATTTCTTCCTGCAGGTGTTAGATGATCGACAAGAAGTAGAGCATCTAGAGCGTAATGTGTGTAGTGATATGAATAAACTCAATTTGAATGCATTTGTGATGGAAAATAGAGAATTGAAATTGCAGCTTTGTGATTACTGTGCTATTTTGCTCTTATTCATTGTTTTTTTCATGGTTTTATTGGCTTGTAAGCGCTTTGAGCACCAGGAAAAGCGCTTTATAAATGTAATGTATTATTATTATTATTAATTGGAAAAATATAAATGAAGAGCAAAGAAGATGACTAATAAAAAAGTATAATTATAAGGTTTTCACTTTTGAATATTTAAGCCTTTCCTTTTCAGTTTTGAGGAAAGTAAATACGATCTACAGAGGGTAGCTTCTAACATTTAGAGCACTGAAAGACTCCCAGACTATTTTTTCACCATCATAGCAGAAGTGTCAAAAGAGGTCTAAACATGACCTTTAAGGGAAAACCCCCTCCCTGTGATTGTGAATACGTCTGAGAGGCACAATGAAGGAGTCAAAAATTATTAATTACTTTAAAAGGGCAGTGGAAAACAGCTTTACACACCTATATCCTGTGTTGGCAGGCAAACAGCAGGGAACTATAACAACTTAACATTTAAGATGCCATACATCACAATCTCTGACACCACTTTGTTAATTACACTTGTGAGAAATGTAACCCTGAGGTGTGCACAGAAACAACAGCTCAACATTTGCAGCAAATAAAACGTTGTCTTTAAAGTCTGCTGGGTAAGTATTTTCAGTCAAGGTTTTGAGCAAGGTCACACCCTTTTATGGATTCAAGAAAGGAAGCAGATTTGATTAACCAGCTTCATCAGCAGGCAGAGTGAATTATAGATTACTCTGACCTCCTTGGAGTGTTCATTGTGTCAGCTTTTTATATTTAGTGTGAGTATCAAATGTCCTTGTTAGTTATTTTAAATTAAGTCAACCTCGTCCTTTATTTGTCAAATTCCAGCTACATTTCTGGGCAATTTAATCTTATAAAAGAAAAACATTCTTTTAGGTCTAGTTCCGGCAATGGAAACCGTTGAGGTTTTAGCTTTTAATGGTCACCATATTGTTTTTAACATTGCAGTCTTCTTATAGAGTCCAGACAATATAAATGATTGTTTCTTTCCCACAAGCACTGTTATTGTCATCATTGTCCACTTGACTTAAGTAAGTGACTCCGCGTCCTCCTGTCTTAGCTCATTGTTGGCTACCAGTGTTGAATTTGTGCAACACAAGATACGAAACTACAGACATAAATAGACATTTTGGCAAAGTTCTTTACTTTTAAATTGCATTTTAATCTCGTCTTTTTTTTGTCAACTAATATTAAATGTTGTCATAACAGTTAGCTCTTTGTAGTTTGTGCCGTCTTGTCCTTTCTCGTCTTAGTCATAGAAAAAAAGATTGTTGATGGACACTTTTAGTCATAGTGTTTGTTAACGTTAAAACACATGTTCAATAGTATTGACTGGAAAAGGTCAATGGCTGTGTGCTCATAAATTGTACCTCCGCATGCATCAGTTGCGTTTAGACACCATGCTAATTTCAAGCAGTCGCTCATGAAAAGAAGATAGTCAACAGTGTAACCTCTGTTGCTGATTAACACCAGGACCTTTTTATCGTCACTGTTCCCGTGTTAGCATCCTAATGCATTTAAACTCAAAGCACCACTGTTTTGTCAACCTAAATAGAGCCTGGCTGGAGCATAGCTGTAGAAACAGATGTAATAGTGTCAGAGTCCTGAAGATGTACAAATAAAAACTGTTATTTAAATAAAAAAAGGCAAGGATAACTTGTTTTTAAGTATCCATCTCTCGTGACCCTTTATTCTTTCGGAAACACAATTGAAAATATAACGAGCTTAATGCTTAATACAAGCCATAAGAGCATTGCACCATTCAAGATCTGCTTTTGCTGAAGACTAAAGACTCCTGTGGTTTTAATATTTCGAAGAGACTCACTTGGCCAGAGCTCTGTCAGGGGGGAATTCAATAAAGATCAATGCATACCCACAACGCTTTCATATGGCTATTCTATTCTTCCCTTAATGTCAATGATATCAGACTTCAAAGAGCAGGATCTTCACAGCGAAGATGAGGGGAAGTGACCCCCCCTGTTACAGGCAGTAGCAAGGAAAATCGTTTTAAAACACCTTTCTCACAGTTTTTTGATGAAAAGCTTCAAGGAAATAAATAAATAAAGTGCAGGGTAATGGTGTATTCACAAAGACGAGGCAGGACTTTGATCTTACCCAGGGACGAGGAGTACGCTGGGAGCCAGGGACAGAGTGTATTTGTGTGTGCATATATATGTTCTTGTGGGAGCAGGCAGGACAAAGTAAGATAAAACATGAGAATGAAAGGGAGAGATCTCATTAATATGGGTCTTCTTGTTTCACGGAAACTCAGAGCACAGTTAAGTCGAATGCAAATCATTCCTACCCCGTTGAGTTGACACTATCACGTTGGATTTCACAGCCAAATTCCCATTGTTTTCGTGGATTAATGACAGTCTGGAGATATGTAACAGTGTAACACAGAGGGTCCTATGGCCTGCTTTGAGACACTTGACGAGCTGGAGAAGAAAAAAAGCAAGGAGGGGAGAAAAGGAACTTTGATCCACTTGAAAGTGTAGTATATCAGGACTAATGCTGGGTTGATAATGCATACAGCGCCCGTCTATATCTGCCAACCAAAGCAGAGCATTAATCTGATAAAGCCCGGGGAAGACTGACTGACAATGCACTCTCCTCTGTCGATGAGGAACGTAATCCTATTTTCTGCTGTTTCACAGTCACATGCTCTTCCACCTACAGTATCTGATTGTCTTTTAATTGACAAGAGCAGCGTCTTAACCTCCAGGCTATAGATGGAGGAACTATAAAGCAGCAACAATGAACAAGGAGTTATATGTGTTTGGATTTATACACAAATATGTAGTGTTAGCATGTCATAATGCATGCAAAATATTCAGTTTTCGCTCATATATCAACAGTTTATTGTAACATCGTGATCACCCTGTGGAGATAATGAACATGAGTTCTCTGCTGGAGTCCAATGAGTCCAAATAAATAAAAGCTTCAGCAGACTTGGAAACAGCTCAACCAAATCTTAATCAGCAAAGAAATAGAGGGCTAAATAAATGAAGCCATTAAATGTTGCAGAAAAAATATCCTAATATGAAAGACTGAGACTCTGAACCAGTTTTTTGCCTGGGCCCTAGCAACCAACCATTTATCTGAGTTATTTGTGGAAATGATTAAACTCAAATGTGTTTAAAGGGGGCTTCCTAAATCTGGCAGAGCTGGTGTTATGGCTGCCTCACCAAAATCACACTGGTGTTAGTTATTCCCCTTTAGTTTAAGAAAACAAAAGCATTTACTCTTGGCTCATCCAGTGGAATATTAAGAATATAAAGATGACAAGGCCTCTGCATTAGAATCGGAATTGGGGTGATTATAGATTTATGCAAACAAGGAATTTGTTTTACATACAATAGAGACAAAAATTCTAAACAAATGCATGAACAACCCAAGGACCCTTTAGTTTTTATTGGTGGTGTTACAAAATTGCAAATAGTTATACTGCCACATCAGCAAACAGGGAACCTGATGTCCAGGGCTCTTACATCCAGTGTTTTCCAATTTACACAAATAATTAGGGAAAGAAGGAAAGAAAGACCCTGGTTGCAGTAAATCATCCATAGTCGTTCCCTCCCAGAACACCAGGGAGGGAGTTTGGGTGGAGTATCCCACTTCATTGATTTTAATTCCATTAATACCTTATGACCGGCTGCTTGGCTGGCTCTCCCCGGCAGTTGCCCATATACGCCTGTCTCCATCGTGGATTTGATTGGACTTCCTTATCGGCTGGCAGCAGGCAGGAAAAGGCCCGGAGGCGGCCAAAGATCCACCGCCCTGGCAGCCAGGCCGCATGTTTGAAACAACAAGCTGCAGATCAAACATGATTAGTGTGGGCGGACAACCCTCCCACCACACCATAATCCATTGGTAGAATGTAACTAATATACTCAAGAGAGAAATATCCTTATTTTTACTCAACTACATGTATTTACCACACTTTTACTGGATAAAAACACATGATGTTGATTGATATATGATGCCGTACTGTACCACTAGTCCATCCAGTATTTTTTTAAATGTTCTAAAATTGTCTCCGCATTTATAAACCACAACAATAAAATGCTTGTACATGTATTAGGTAGTGATAAAAACAAGATAATATAATCATTTTAATATTTAATATTTGCTTCTGTTACCTGGCTGCTACTTCACTATTTGTTTATGTTCTACTTAGTTTTTGCAATACTTCTACTTATCTTTATCTAAATTGAATGTGTATTGGATTTTTATTTTATTAATGTGGGCTTGCCGCTTAATTCAATACTGTTTTCTTTTTGTTTAACTATGTAAATACCTCTCTGGGGGACAAATAAGGATTTCTAATTTTGTATCTATAATATTATAACATAATCTTGTGAAGAGGCATTCTGCATAATCAGTTGCTTTTGATCATTTAAGTTACTTTAGCTAATAACACTCCTGTGCATCTACTTTAGTAGCATTTGAATTCAGGACTCTAACTTGTGTTATGATATTTTAATTCCATAGTATTTAGACTTTTACTTCAGTAAAGGATCTTCTACCTCTTCATGATGTATGAGATCACTTCTGTGAATGTGATGTGTGCGTGTGTGTGTGTATGTGTGTGCGTGTGTGTGTGTATGTGTGTATGCGTGTGAGAGCGAGGGAAGTGTACCCTTTACTGGCAGCTGGTGCAGGCAGATCCACTTCACTCACAGCAGCTGCATCTGAATGAATGTAATCACTCCCTCCATTACATATTTTTGCAGTAATGCATTTCCAACAGCAGCAGCTCAGCTACCAAATGCAGCCACTCAGCATTTCTGCCTAATGCATTGCGCGCCATGTGTCTGCCATTTTAAACTTTGCATTAATGTTTTTGTTGGTCACATCCAGCCTTAAAGTCAGTGAGAAAGCCTTGCACTCGGTGTTGCCTAGTTGTGTGGTTGCGTGGAAACTAAACGGCTGCACTCAGTGAGCGAGCCCTGAACTGTAGGAGCATTTCCAGTGGCGCGTGGTGGCTGCCCACAAGAGCGGCTCTCTGCACAAGTTTAACGAGGACCTGATGGAGGAGAAGCGAAATATTGACCGAACCGCCTTCCGGGGATTTCTCTGATCCGCCGGAGCATTTCACTCCCTGACGCTTGCTGAGGAACACACCATGAAAAGGAGAGGGAAAGCAACAAAGACGTGAGTGTGTGTTCGAACTATCGATCATCTGTTTTATTTGTGATATTGCATGCCTTTACGCATTTGCTCAACCTATGAAATAGCATCCGTTTCCCAGTTTTTTTTTATACGGGTTTACAAATGTGACTGGTGCTGCACACAATACTGGATGGGACTGGCTAAAACAGGATGAAAGACAAACTTAACAAGGGTATCAGTTCCCTCATGCATCTCCTTTTATCTCCTGTCCTTTGAGTTCATTTTCCACCAGATGCTTGTTTCTAATGAGTATATTTAGCATGCAATTATACTTGTTGCACTTAAATTAAGCATCCTAAATGTCCCTATCCTATATTGCGTTGTGATTTATGTAAAGTAATAACAACTCCAAGACTAATGCTTAGTATTTCAGATTTTAAACTGTGATATTTAAATATTTAACAATGGCTATCAAACCCCTATGAATCTCAAACATACTGTACATTAAATGCCATTACATAAACTGCCATGCTGTAATAAAAGTATATGCTTATTGCCCTCTAAATTAACCGAGTAAGACCATTTTATGTCGTAAAATGGGATGTTATGGTGTAGAAATCTGCCAAAGCAGTGTTGTGCCGTAAGGAAAAGCAAGAAAAGCGCATCCAAATTGGCATTAAGTGAGGAATTGGCAGTAGAAAGAGCTGAACGCACTGAAATATGATTGCAGTTGCAATAACATTGTGTATTTCAATTTATTTCAAGTGTTCTTCGTTGCCCTGTTTCCCTTTCAGTCATCCACACCCCCCATTGATAACTAGATACCACCATCTTATTTGCCATTTATGCAGCTGTGATGTGATTCCACGGAGGTCAGATTCATACATGAAAAAAAAAACTACGTCACAAAACATATTCCCTCGTACATTTGTGTTGCATTTAATTCCTCCCAAGTTTATGTGTGGTGTACCAAATGACTGCTCCTCGTATAATTGGTGCCAGAGAGGTGCAGCACTGGAAGCAGTGAATTTATGAAGTGTGATATTGACCTTTTGGCTGTGAGAGCGCTGTATTTATTGTTTAAATTAAAAGCAAGAAAGGTTATTTATCACATCAGTAATGAATAAAGGATCACGGATGAAGACCTCATCAGATTTAGAGGCCACCTAATTTATTGCATTTACTGTGTGTGGTTATCTCATGCACTATATTCTCCTTCCTCTACCCTTTGTTCTTTCACTGCCAGTTGTCTTCATCAGCTGTCCTTGTGAATGACTAACATTTGCCCCTTTTCCCAATGTCTCATTAGTGTCACGCACTGTTCTCTGCGTTGTTATTGTGCTGTTACCCCCTGTCCTTAAATCCTCTTGATATCATTCTTTCTCTCACAACCCTGTGCTGCTGCTGTGTCCAATTTCCCTCTGTGCCCACATGCTTTCTCCTCCTCCGTCATCAGCCTTCTGCTCCTGCTCCCCCATTATCTCAGCAAAATACCAGGCTGGCATGCTGTGTGACGGGAAAAGTACAGCCTTTACAGGAACATAACGATACCCATTTAGTTCAGGCAAGACTTTTATATCCTTTGCTGGTATTTTACTTCCTAATGCACCCTGCTGACATAAAGCGCAGAGGGTAATCTTTAGGAAGTTGCTTCGCTTAATGAAGATGGAAAAGAATCTCGTGCTAAACCTCAGTTAGAGCATCTAAATAGCAGAGCCTTCTTCTGTGCTTTGCTCCGGTGCATCAGCCTCCATCTCGCCCTCATTATTGGGTTTGTCTGGCAGGCATCTCTTAAACCTGCGTGACACAATGAGTGTTATTAGCTGTGTCTCAGACAAGGCATCTGTCCCCTTAACACACACATACAAACCACCATTGCCACTACACACTGTCCTCTACCCCCCAACGTCATGTGATACTTTGAGGTACTTAGAGATCGATTTCATTTTTTAATCTTGGTAAGTGGATCTTGTCCAGTCTCCAGCCATTTTGAAGAAATTAAGAAGTCCGGTTGAACTCTGTGGTCCATCATTTTGTCAGACAGGCCATTACATTGTCTGTTTTGTTGGCCCTGGTGAGGTTTATGGCATTAACATTTGCCCCGACAAAAGGATTGGGTGGCCAACACAGATGCTACATTGACTTAAGGAGTTTTTCCTTAAGAGGATTAGTAACAGGATAGGAGGTAGCCCTGATCAGGTATTCATGAAGTGTGTTAAGGTGGGTAGACCTGCTATTTTCAAAGGCTTACATACAAAATATAAAGTGTAATTTACAGTACACACAGACAAGCTTTTACCTCTGTGTTACTTGCACTTCTGACCAAATGACCCCATGTACTGGAGTCACTGCACAGCTTGACAGATAATCTAGGACATTTTTAATGGTCATAATACCATAATAATCATAATAAAATGATCCGAATGGCGTCTGTAGTTGTGAAAATAACTGGATACATGATATTTTACTTCATGAAAAAAATGGATAGTTTTATGTTTTGTTTGGAACATTTGTTCTTCATGGAGTCACATCACTATGTTGATGCCCATCTCTGTGTACTGAAATAGCCCTGCGTTGCAGGGATGGCAATTATAAATGAGGCACAGTGACACCAAAGGTTTTTCTAGCTTGTTTATTTAGTTGGTATGAAGGGAATGTTTGATCCTTAGACTTTACTGGAAATATATCAGAAGTTCAGTTGTATCTGGCCATCATGCTGAAACAAAGCAATCCTGTTCTCGCTGCAATTAGATACATTTTAATAGACTACCCCCTGCATTCTGTGTTATATATCACTATGGACTCTGAAACCATTGTTGATCACCCATGTTTTGCTTGGAAAAACTATTTGACAGGACAATCTGCACTGTTGTTCATTTCAAAGGCTAACCTTCCCACAACTGCTAATGTGACTTTTTGTTGTTTTTATGCAACAGGCTCAACAACTTCTGGGGAGGTTAATGTGGACTTCACCTCCTGCGCCCAGGTGGTCCTTCCTGGAGCATGCACGTATCCCACAATGTCCCTAATTGCAGACTGGTTACTGCGCCACTCAGTGGTCACGTGTTTGCTGCTGCACAGCCTGGTGCTTATGACCTTTTGCTTCCACAATGCTGCCACCAGTTGCTCCAACGGCTGTTACTGCTCTGAGAGCGATACCGGGGGCAAGACGGTCCGCTGCAGCAATATGCGGCTCATAGAGATCCCCCAGGATATCCCCAATGACACACAACGCGTCTACCTGGACTTCAACCTTTTCACTACAGTCCCAACTAATGCTTTTGCAGGTTTGCCCAACCTAGTTGAACTGGATCTATCACACAACGAATTGAGTCTGTTAGAACCAGGGGCATTCAGAGGACTTGGCCCCTCACTACAGTTCCTAGACATTTCTTCTAACAAGTTAGTGAGCTTTAACCCAGAGGCCTTTGATGGCCTGCGGTCTCGCGCCAACCTAACAAACAATCCTTGGCATTGTGACTGCAACTTGCAGATGGCCTTGCCCCGTGTGGACCTGGAGCCTGCCTCGCTGGCGGGAATCGTTTGCAAGACTGCAGATCCTGAGGAAACGGGAGTTCAAGGACTTGCCTTCCTGTTGGCACCAGCCATAGACCTATGTGTGGTGATGAAGAGGACTACAGATGTGGCCATGCTGGTGGTCATGTTTGGCTGGTTCAGCATGGTAATCTCCTACCTGGTCTACTATGTCAGGGCTAATCAGGAGGACGCCCGCAGACACCTGGAGTATCTCAAGTCGTTGCCAGGCATACAGGGCAAATCAGAGGAGTCTTCTACCATTAGTACTGTGGTATAGGTTGGATGCAACTACACGTGGGACCACTAAACAGGATGGAGCAACGACTACATGGTCTTCATCAATCTCAGATGGTTTTGCTCAGCTGTTGTCTCTGAGCCAAGGTGGGCAACAAGACATGCGCATCTGCACAAGAAAAACAGGCCGATGCAACCTAGCCAGATGAATAATTCATCATTCAGTGACCCATTAGGAGTTTCTGCTGGCTGAGTTGATGGTCTGGTGAGTGCACTAAGGGAGTTAAAGCAAAGGCTGTTTTTGGTGAACTCCAAATATGGGCTACAAATGGGATTTATCCAATGGTGCATACACCTAGATGCACCGAGCCTACACACAGACAATATGAAGCACCATGAACGGGAAAAGGTAACACTACAATGAGGAAATTCATGTACAACTGTTTTCCATTACAACCCTTATGGTATCCACCAGTATATTCTAAGTAAAATTATGTTTTCCAATTAAATTGTTGTTTTTTGAGTTTCTCTTACTGAACTTAGTCAACTGTCTCATGAACAAATACATACAGTTATTGAGAGTGTGAATCACTTTTTAGCAAATGCATATTTAGCTCACTTAGCTGATGAATCACATTGCTGTGTGATGAAGGGCTCATTGGTTATTATGTGATCTTTTTGGCAGTAGCTACTGTACCAGAGCTCCATACTGATGAGAACCGCAGACCTCCAAGCTGCCTTTGTATGTTAACAGTGTTTGACAGGAAACTCCTATTAGCTCACAATAACCTCCAATGACATCCCTAAATTATCTATCCAAACACTGCAGTACTATACACTGCGTATCAAAAGTTAATTTATCAAATGCCAGTATGAAGAAACTAGGTTTTTGCGGAGGTAACAAACATCACCTGTCACGCCAGTCACCTAGGACTGATTCGATTTGAGTCCTGTTGGCTGATATTAGAAACACACAGCAGCTCTGGAATTACTCCTCAGCATAATATGCTAATCTTTAGTCACCAGCCAATAGCCCTTCATGCAATATCATGTAATTGTCAGATAAGGTTGATGTGAGAAGCAGAGAATTTGAGGTTACTGCAGTTCAGCCGTCATCAAAGAGAGAGAGAGAGAGAGAGAGAGTAACTGGGACACATTTGATCATATTCTGGTTTTAAAAAGCCCTTCAGCAAACACTCTCACTCCTTTAACCAGAGCAATTAAGGTAACACAGGAACCCTTCATTATCGTACCTTGTTATATAGACAAATTCTTTATTTCTGCTCCGATTTTCATTCTCTATGATGCCTTTAATAAGCATGCCTTTGGGAGCCTCGTGGTCTGATTCAGTCCCTCCTATTGGTTTCCCAAATAACATTTATGAGGCCACTACCTGTGGCTCCATTTAAAAGACTTAAGGGATTCAGATCTCCTATTTAAACAGACAGAGTAAAATACATTTGTGTCTCTTCCAACGAAGTAGTCGATATAAAACTGAGACCTCAAAAAGGGAAATGTTTTTAGGTTGAGGTGTAATTTAATCCACATGAGACTGTGCTCTATACTCTCTTCTGGTCAAGGTCAGAATAACCCTTTGTAGGCTTCAATAATGAAATGTGATGTTTGAGATGTGGGACATGGTTTGACAACAAGGATTTCCCTGTCAGACACACGCATGCCTTTAGAGCAAGAGCAGTAGTGATAAATGATTTATGATGGCCACAAAAACACTCGAGCAGAAAGTCTGGGATTGACCCATCATCTTGTGTGACCCAGTTCCTGAGGAGAAAAAAGGGAGTGCCAAAGGGGATGAGCTGCCCCCCTCTCTGCTGCCTGGCATACCCTCACTTGGGTAAAACACTTTCCAAATGCCCTTGGGCTGCTCAGGGAGAGTCAAGAGCGCTCACAGTGGCATCCAAAGTCAGCTCCACCTCATCCTTAAATCCCCTTCTCTCCCAAAGGTAGCACTCTGTTTTTAAAAGAGTAGTTTGAGATCTCGGAAATATGCATATTAGCAACCGCAGGGGGTTGGTTACCATTAGGACATTTTATTTTGTTCGCTTAAGACGTGCTATTAGGCAGATTCTTTCTAGAAAGGTTAGCTGTTTCCAGTCTTTATGCTAAGCTAACAAGCTAATAGCTTCAGCTTCTTTTTTAGCATAAAGACATGAAAGTGATATCAATCTTTTTACAAAATTCCAGAATGTTCAACAATTTCTTTTAAAAAAACAGAAGAAAAGTCAAAGAAAGAAACGTTTAGGAGTTATTTTATTTTTACTAAAATAAAGATGTTGTCAACAGTGTTTGTTCGACATGTTGTTTTTGCCATCTGTTCACCTTTTTGTGCTTGACAGCACCATCGTTTCTATTAACAGGCTGAGTTTGTTTGACAATGATATTGATCTTGACAGAGGTAATCTTAAGGAAGCAGGTACAGCCACCCATGATGAGCAGGAGGTTCAACAGTACTGAAAAATAGATGGTAAGCCTCTCTCTATGACATTTCCTCACACACACACACACACACACACACAGCTCCCTCCTTCGGTCTTTCCTCTGATTACAGGCTCTCACGGTGGCTTTGAAACACAGGACCAGCAACAGAAATGGCTGACTGTATTCTGTTCAGCTAATGTAGGTGGGTGCACACGTTCTTTTGTTCACCTGTATGTACGACAGGTGTGTGTGCATGGCGGCAGTGAGGGTTTGTGTAATGTAACACCGCTGTTCCCCAGCACACATAAATGTCACTGAGGTTAATTTAAATTTCAGACGAGCTCAGTTTGCCCCGCCTGCTACCTTAGACACGTTACACTGGTGTGAGCATTACAACTGCAGGGTAATGGGACACAAAGTGGGGGATAAGGTGACACATCCAATCCCACAGAGCGCAGCCCTGTTTGGCGTTGGGTTGCAAGTGAAAATGTTTCCAGGCTCTGAGATCACATGGGGTCTCCCAGTGAGGGCCTGTGTCAGCACCTGATTTCCACCTTCAGCCAAAAAAGGTAAGCGACACCTAAGACGCAGCATCTGAGAAGAGTGACAAGGACATCCTTGTCAATATTTTGTAAAGGTGTCCTTTTTCTGATGCCCGGATGAAACCAAGTCCAAATGAATGAAGAAAAGGTCCTGACTTCAGTTAGTGCAACATAGCTCCCCCTGTTGTGGAGTTTGTGAATGTGAAGAAAATAAATAAATTTCTCCTAAAAAACAACACACAGCACATTCCCTCATCCTACAGACCTCACTTAAACAACCGTAAACATTAATGTTTCTCAATAATGGTATTAAGCCATTGGTGGGCCCAAAGGACATCAGCTGACCCTCACGGAGCCTCCATGTTGCTGTAGATTAGTTTGATTTGATTAAACTCAAGATTGTGAAAATGGAAACAAACCTTTTTCATTCTCCCCCCTATTGCGTTTCCAAACGTTATATTGTACTGTTGATCGCTACTGTCCAAAACAATAAACAACTATATCAAATAACTATAATCCCTGATCTCAATGCTTAAAATAAAGTTAGGGGCTCTTTTGCTGGCTAGAGTATCCACAGTTAAAATTAATCTGGTTGTTCTGCTACTTGGGAACAGCTAGCTATTTTGTTGGGTTACCTCTTGGTGAAATGCTCTTTTGACAGGGAAGTAATGCAATCTATATGTCTTTTATTGTAAAAGGAGGTTGCATGCAGAATTGCATATTGGAAGCATTACTTGCAGGGAACTAAATTAAGAGCCACTAGTGTCATTATATCCTGCCATTATCTTGTTCAATCAATATTCACTTCACTTTCAGTGTAAAGAATGAGCTGAAGTGCAGGATCTCCTGCTATAAGGAAGTGCCTGACCCCAATGTACAAGTGAAAACTTATAAAGCTTTTACACATTAAATTAATATTGCAATTGCACTAAATACATATTCAGGAGTGATTATTCTTATACTATACATAGCTAAAGCACAAATGAAAAGGCTGAAATATTGACCGGTTTTAACATTACACAATGGCACAGAACTTGGATATGTATGTTGAACATCGCTCTATGGATCATAAATCTAGATTCAGAGGTGTGACCTACTTACTATATAATATAGGTCAAGATTGTTATTTTGGATATACCCTCAGGGATTTATCATCTTTTGGGAATTCTGCAAAAGCAAACCGTTAATATAAGGAATGCATGATTAATTTCTCATTAATAGTTTCATAGATCACAATCTGAATATGTGCCCATATGTAACTGGCTTGTTTGAAAGGTGTCTTGTATGCGATTTATATTGCGTCATAAATCATGTCATTGTCATGTTTGTTGTGAGATCATTTTCTGAGAAATCCTGTTTAAACTGCTTTACTCTGAGGAAGACAGGAGTGCTAGCATACTTTGGTCATCACAAAGCATAACCACCTAATTCTGCCTTAATTCCTTGTAAAAACACATTTAGCAATTCCATGGCTCCCTCCTTTTTCATGGGAAAGCATTACTCACTCGACACAATTGGACAAGAGCTGGTTTCAAATAAATGGAATCTGGACACAATCTTTGCTGGCAGTCTGAGCATATCAACACATCATTGTTGTCTTGAGATCTGATGTAAAAACAGTCCAGGTTATTTGATTTGGCAAAAACGGGGAAAACAACATCAACCATTGAGTGGAAAATAATCTGTACTGTAGCATTCAGAAATTGGTGGGAATACATGGTATTTGAACATCAAGGGAACTATCTTTCTGTTCTGTTCAGGCCAATACCATTTTTTAAAGAAGTTATTGACTTAAGTGCTAAAATATCGTAGTAAATTAACACAAGGTATCTCTTAAACCAGAAGAAATGTGATATTGGCACATTTATGTGAAAATTAGAAGTGGTCCCAGGACCCAGATGATCTCTAAACCTCTTAGACCGAGTAATTTTACAGCCATCTTTGTGCTCTCTAGAAAACCAGGTCCTTTCAAAGGCCTCCTGCAGGAACACAAATCTGTAGGCTATCATAAAAATTAAAGATGTTGGGGGCTCAATGAAAAAAGCCCTTTCTGCTTTCATTTCGGCTAATCTGCTTGCCTGCCATTACAACCCCTCTTGAACTCAGTGGTAGGCAAGTAAATTTGGCCATGGGCCAATTTTTTGCTCAGCCACAAGATGGCGGGCCAGAACATAATCAAAGCCTAATTCAAGGAATTGATTTTGGTAAGAGGGCGCAGCGCCCCTATTCCCCGGTTCAGAAAAAACTCTGATATTGCTGATAACCCTCCCCATCAACACTCTGATGCGCAGTCAGATCCGCTGATTGGTTCACTGATGATATAGGCGCCCAATCCAGAGCCTCTGGCTAGACCCGCCCAAAGGGAGGCTCGTCCTCTCTAGCCCCATTTCAGTCCCAAAGCCAGGGCTATTATCTGTATTTTAACAGACGTATCTTTTAAATTGAGATGTATTTATTGTTCTCTTCAAAGTAAATTTTTCTCTGAAATGTTAGGGGGGATGGTCCTCCCTTTCCTCAATGGACGAGCCTCCACTGAGTAAAGTAGAGTTATTAACTCGGTAGCAGTGTTATTTAACATACTTTTATTCTGATAAGTATTGTCAAGTTCTCTGGGTTTTTGGCATTTATTTGAGTGTTTGCCCACATTTGAGAGGCTTGAGGGGCAACGCATGGACAACTGGAATCATTTTTCCTTTTCTTTATTTCAACTTTTCAAGGACACATTAGGATTCTTTCAGGTTGAAAACCTTTAAAAAATATCAAAGGACAAAATAAATCAATTACAGCATGTTTTGCTTTGCAATTTAATATATTATAACCTAAATTAATCAGTAACCAAGTATTTTACTCAAACTCAATGTATTTAATAGTTAAATAAATACTTTAATTGACCTGGTTCCCCACAACCACACATTTGCCATATGTGACCCACTCTATCGAAATCAGTCGGAAGTCGCAACGGTTCATTTCAAAATAAACGTGGATTTGCGTAAAAAACTAGTTTTCAGGGTTCGGGTGTTTTGTTTGATTTTAAATAAACAAAGTCTTGGCTTTCAGAATATGGAACTTTTATTTCCAAAATCACACGATAAATACATGTTTGATGAAGCTTGTAAAGGGAAGATGACAGCTCTCCCTCGCCACTCTGCTCTTCCCTCCCTCCGCTGACATTATGAATGTAAGCGGATATGTCGGGACAGAATTTATTTTACCGGACACATTTGAAACTTACCGGTCATGTTTCAATAATAATAATAAGAATGGTGTAGCAAAGTTTCCGTTAGCAGGTAATCACCGGACTATGACAGGATATGCTGATGTTTAAAACTCAGTTAATGGGAGTCATTTTTATATTGCTTTAGTTTATAATCGTTACAGATCGAAAAGTTCAGATTCATTTTTCAATAAATGATTCCACAAACAACAAACATAATTATTACATTCAAACAAACTACTTGTAGCCTAGTAGATGAAGTACATTATTCAAAAGTTTTCATTAACTTTGGATAATAACACGGGAGAAACGGATCCTCTCTTTTCCCCTCTCCCTCTCTCTCTCTCCCGACAGCCGGTCAGTTTCTCATGCAGCGCGCTAAACAGTGGGCGGGGCTTCAGGTGATTATGCAGCAGCTGATCTGATCTCTCTCTCGGGTCCGGTTATACTTCACTCGCGTTTATGTCCATATCGATCAGATCCAGCTCTGCTGATCGGCCTTTATAGAGAGCACCGATCAAACTATTAAGAGTGAATATCGGCCGATAATGACCGGCGGCCGATCGATCGGGGCATCCCTAATTATTACCAGACATTTTGACCAGCAGGTTTTGAATTTACCGGGTTTTAATTAATTTGACCAGATAAAAACCGGTGATTACCGGCTAACGGAAACCCTAATGTAAGACTCTCGGTCCTATGTTGTTAAAAAAAAAAAAAAAAAAAAATTATTTTTATTTTTGATTCTCAAAATTACGGGCCAAATATTATTGCTGGCGGGCCAACAATGGGCCGCCTGTTGCCGACCCAATCCCTTCAGATTGGCATGTAGGGCCATCTTCAAAAATGCTCATTCCTGCAGAAACTTGTTTTAAAATTCCTATTAAATGAAGCATAAGGGTGTGTGCTTTCAAGTGTTAAAATGATTGTGCAGCTTCTCCACCATGTCTAACCTAAGGTGAGATAGCACCTCTAAAACCAAATAGTGTTTCCAACTGGGTCATTGAAGGGGCCACAGAGCGAGGCCTCAGTAGTGAATAATGCCCTTCTTTCATGTGCAGGATTGATTGGAGATCGGACCAGTGTGGATTTCAGGGATCAGATTTGACATCTTCACTTCACAGCCTATCAAGCATAGCCAGATGTAACATATCTACACTGACTGATCAACGGGCCTCGTGTCAGAGCATGAAGAAAACCGATCTGTTACAATAGAGGCACAGCATTGACCTATGAGGTGATTACATACCTCCAAACGCAATGGCATAACTTGATTCTACAATTTTTGTAGGATTTAATTAATAATTTCATGTGTTAAATTAAAAAGTGATTTAAAAATTTCCAAAATACACTTATCCACTGTTAGTTAGATAGTTAGATGAAACAATTATAGCCTACTGCTTTTATGTCTCTGTGCTAATGTAGGTTGGAGCCAGCATCTTGGTAGCCTAGCTTAGCATAACGACTGGAAACAGGGGGAAACAGCTAGCCTAGCTATGTCTAAATGTAAAAGCCAGTCAACCATTGCTCTCTACATCACTTACCATGTGTATGTTGTTTGTTAAATCCATAAACAGTCTTACTTTAAAACAGTGAGTGTTGGCTGGTGGCAGTGACATCTAAGCTAGCTTTCCCCCCCAGTCTACAGTATGTATGCTAAGCCTATTGAGCTAACCAGGTGCTAAGCTAAGGTATCCTCTCCTGATGGTAGCTTCATATTAAGCATAGGCCTACAGACACAAGAGTGGTATTAATTTTGCCATCTAACTTTTGGAAAAATGTCAAACCAATCTTAAGGCAAGGATCAACTAAAAGCATATTTGTATCAAAGAACAATTTGTCACAAGATGGCGATTTTGATGAATGAATAATGCTTTTCCCTGTACTTTGACCTTTGAGAGATTTCTAATTGAAATGCTTTTAACAGAGTGTAACATCACAGCTGAGGTATCATTTATAAAACTCATGATTCCACCAGATGGCACTCTTGTCTCTGTCAAGCCAGTGTGTTTATTTCCTCACCTCCTATTTACTATAACTGTACACAACGCCTGGTGGGCTCACTTCCCCTGGCCTGAACCAGTGGGCTCCTGTGTGGATCAAGAGTATTTTCAGGTAAGTCAAATCTCAGAGCCTTGAAATTGGTGCAACAGGTGCCACAATTGAAATACACTTGTAAATGTCATATTTCTCTTTTGGCGTTTTGTTTGTGGTGGGCTGTTCTTTACAAACAGGAAAATACAGTTGTGTCAGTAGGCTACTTAGCGTAAATGTAAAGCAGTTGGAAATGTCCAATCTATTAATAGCAAGATGCAAGCCACAAAGGAATGACAATGACCAAAAAACACTGCCGGTTTCCTTTCAAAAAGTCCTAGATTTCATAAACACTTTGATTTGAGCATTTCAACACTTTCGATTTCCATTTCCCTCTTCACAGCTGTTAGTGGAAAAGCCTGTTTCCTCAAGAGCTCTTTAAGTATGACTCTGAAATAGTCTGGACTCATACTTTAACTATAGGCTGGGTTACATCAATGTCAAATATCAGAAATGGAGGAATTCCCAAAATCTCTTGAATTGTGTTACTCTGGAGGCTTTTGTAGAACATGTAATTGCATAATAGAAAACAAACATTTAGAGTCATCAATACTTTCACCCTCTTAATTTCAATTCAATTTCGGTTATTTTATCCTTCATATATATATATATATATATATATATATATATATATATATATATATATATATATATAATGTATAATAGTTCTCGTTTTATTCCTATTTTTGTATATTATGTGAAGTCGGTTGAAGAAAAATGTTATAACAAATCAAATTCACTATAATGTTGAGACCAAAATTGCTAGACAAATCCTAATAATGTGCTTAAATTAAATGTCCTTATTTTCAATAACCATTTTGACCCAGGTAAGTAAGCTTTATTTAACACAATAAATCAAATGGCTTTGAATGAAAATGTGCAATTCATGAATCTCTCATATGGTAATAGGATGACCAAATTATGGGAAATCCCTCTATTTGGGCCTGCAGCCTATATAAGACTATAAATGTATTAATCATGAATAGTGTTCACTTGAGGTCAATACTTAAAGACATTCCTCAACAGAGGCCATGAACATCCTGATTGGTGAGTAGTGATGAGGAAATACTTGTAAATGCTGCTTTCTCTTCCTCTGCTGATCAACTCCAGAAACAGCACAGAGACTCTTAACTGATAGCACTGCATAGTTCATTTTAACTCATCTGGACCTTTTTTAAGAAGTAAATATTATATTTATTATAACTTTACTTCTGCTCAAACTGCTAACTGTGGTATGTTGAACTGCTGTAGTCACTTCTGGCTTAGGTTTCACATTACATGGACTATTCTGAACTCATGCAGTTATTTAGCCTGAGGGGAGGCATGCCCAGTGCTGTAGCACAGAGGAGCTGCTGAGGAGAGACACACGCTTTGTTCTCTCTCTACCACACACACTCGCACACACACTGTGCTGGTGGATGTAAGAAGGGATTGTTTTTGATGCCTCTACGGTTCTTGATTCTTCTCCCCTCTCAGTTTTCGTCCTTCACTGCTCCATGGCCACTCTCGCCCGCAGCGCGCCTCTGCAGCCGGAGATGGGCGCACTTGTTGAGGGAACGCAGTTCCAGGAGATCGTGCTGAGGAGCCGCAGCTTGATAGAAAAGATCCTGCTCTCCATTCCCGACACACACAAAGAATGCATTCACATCGAGGTGAGATACGTACTGGTTTTCCATTGTTTCGCTTTCATTTGAATATTGTCAGTGAGATATCTCGGCTGCTGGTGAATAATCAGTGCTGTTCGTTCTGTAAAAGGGCCTTTGAAGGTGTGCTCTGTGCCCTGCTGCTAGTCTGACAGGCTGTTTATTGAGTTTATATGGTTCAAGGCTTTTATTGGTCATCATACGAACATAGCTACAGTGTAGTTATGAAGATGAAAATCTTAGGTCACAGGCTCCACCAACAGTGAAACACAATACAACAGAAAAAATGAAAAAATAGTACAAGTAAATACAAAAAGAAAAATAGTGAAATAGTGTAATAAGAGTCTATATAGACTAAGTGATTGGAATATGATATATTACATACATAATTTCTAAATTGCAGCCAGATTAATGTTATGGATGTTGTTTCAAAAGTTCAGGTGTTGCTATGCAGTAATAACTGTGCTTTAAATTCAAAAGATATAAAAATAATAAATATTTGATGATTAATTATTGGCTTAGCATTATCCTCTTAATTCTGAGGACCTATTTTCTTCAGCGAAGCCTGCCAAAACTTTCACATTGCAGTCACAATTTACCTCATTCCTTTACTTCAGTATTAACATTTTATGCCACTTAAACATTAAATTTATTTGACATTCAGATACACGAATACTAATAAAATATTAACAATCATATAAATAATAGGAAATGTAAGGACATTTAGAAACGAAGTCTGACACTACATAAAAGGTTATAATGCTCTTATAAATTATTATTATACATCATGTGAAATACTCAAAGGTGAATACAATACTAGAAGTTTCCAATATTTGTCAACATACAGTATTTAATGGTCATGACATTGACAGGGGCCATATTACATAACGGGTGCTTTGGACATTTGTTATGGTTCATTTTTACATTGACGTATTACTACTTTTAATTGTCTGAGAACTTCTGTCGCTACTGGGTATTTCTCTTGAAGTAAATAGATCTACAAATGCATATCAAGGTAGTGCTTGCTTCCTGTTGCATGCCAAGCTGGGATTTATCTCTAACATCTCCATGATATCTCTCCTTACAGACACTAAAACTAAATTCTTCAGAAAATGCCAATTTTGTGACAATGGCATCCACCATCGGCATCCCGGCTGCTCCTGTTCTCAAAGTGGTGTCAGAAAACTTCTCTTTGGTAAGCATCTATCAGAGGAAAAATTCAATGAATAACATGTTTTAGATAAACAGAAAATGTGACCTGATTGTTGTTATTTTTTCTCTTTAGGAGACCGGTTTGAGACGCATGTCAGAGGGTCTTCAGCTGCACCGGGCCTTACTGCGCTCCGTCTCTCCTCGGCTAGAACAGAAAGACAGAGTGATCGGGCTACAGGCTGACATCAGAGACCTCGTGGTTCAGATCAATAAGGTAGTCATATTTTTATTTCACTGTCCCTATGGTTTGTTTAGGTTCTCCCTTTCTGTAATCATGAACAATTTTCACATACTGTACTTACACATTGTAGTTTACTTACACTACCTCACAGGATATATATATCTGTTTTTTTTTTTTTTTGCAGACATGGCACTTTCAGCACATTATATAAATCACAGGACAATTTGTCTGTTAAAGAAAACATACCCATCCCCTACCCCATTACTGTAGGTCATGGTCACAGAAAAAACAATAATAATACAATAATAAATACAATAAAATAAATAACTCACATCACAAAGTCACAGGTAACAGGAATAGAAAAAAATCACATTGAGTAGAATAGTAAGTAACTAAAAACAAAACAATTAAGACAGGGGAGAACAATAAGGGATACACAGAGTATTGGTCACAGGATATATTTTACTTTTTTATTTATTTAAAGCTGCTGTGCACAATTTTACAATGTGTATAGTACACTGTGTTAATGTTTCTGTCACTGTACTAGATGGATATGTTTTGTTCTTGTACAATTTCCCAACTTTGGATAAATAAAATATATATCTATCTATCATCTACATAACTCTTTAGAAATGACCCTTACCTTAGCCCCTTTCATGATGTTCCTTATTGTGCCTTGCAGATGCTGAAAATGACCCACGCCGAGGCTGTGGTGCAGCCCTCTCCGACCCCCGTGGCCTTGCGTCTCCCGGGGGAATATGAGGTCCAGGTGGCGGCTCACCTGACCCTGGTCCAGCTGCAGGCCTTCGGGCAGGACACGACGCGCTGCCTCAGAGGTCTGGACCGGAGCAATGACGAGGAAATGCAGAGCTGACTAACATTTTTACTCTAATTGCATTTGGTTTTTGTCCAAATCATACCTTTTATCTGTCATTTTTTACCACGGTTAATATTTATTTATGTTAAATGATTATATATTTATTTTTGTAATCTATTTATATATATTTATGAATGTGGAATATTTATTTAGGGAATTAATTTATGATAAGTGTGTCCTGTTTTATTACGTAGCATTGACTGTAAATTAAATCTTCTTTAATTTAGTCTGAAAATAATTTAAATGGTTCAAATACTATACTATAAAGCGAGGTTCAATGATAATAAAGCAGAACAGAACATTTACAGACAGCTTTTTACTTTGTAATAACTACTTTCTCTCAGCAGAGACATTCATCTTCTTATTATAGACACATGCATTTCCAAACATTCGGTCTACCTACGCTGTAAAATGTATTATCTCTTCGACTTACACACGGCATCTATTGCACGTCTGTCCGTCCTGGGAGAGGGATCCCTCCTCTGTTGCTCTCCCTGAGGTTTCTCCCATGTTTCCCCTTGTACGATGTGAGGGTCTAAGGATAGAGGGTGTCGTTTTGTCATACTGATATTCTGCACAAACTGTGCTGTTGTATTTGCTGTAAAGTGTCTTTACTGTAGGGTATTTTTATTATATGTACAGCACTTTGGCTCGACCAAAAATCGTTTAAAAATGTGCTATATAAATAAAACTTTGATTTGAGACATGTAATATGTTTGAATAAAACTATTTTTTTTACAAATCTTATTTTTTTTAAAGAATGGTTCTGAATGTTTGTATTTCTGATAAATAAAAATACATTTCCTTAAACTGTTATTGTTCCTTTTTATCAATGACAAGCATTATGACACATGCTTTGTCATTGATGTAATCCAATGACAGTAATAGAGAAATGCAACTAAAAGTTAAATAGAGGCTTCTGGGTCATTTTTTCTGCCAACGTGTTGAGGAAGTGTTGCAACAGGCGGATGGCTGCCTGGTGACCATGAGCTCAGGAGGGTGGTGCAGACCTTTGTACGTAGTGTCATGTGGTCAAAGCCTCTGCCAACATGTGACCATCATCCACACCACCTCATGGTATTTTAATACCAAATCTGACAAACAAAATAAGATCTTAAAGGTCCCCTATTATACTGTTTTTCATCAATATATTACAGGTCTCAGATATATACAAAACATGTCTCTGAAGTGTTTGGCTCCAAACACCAAACAGATCATTGCAGCATTACCCATAATCCCCTCTGTTTCAGCCCTGTTTCCAAAGTGCTGATTCTCTGTCTGTTACTTTAGATGAAAATAAGGAGCCCCTCCCCACGCCCCTCTGAGAGACATTTGGTTACAAAGAACACAATGGTGCTCTAGGAGGAGATTCAGGTGATAAGGTGGGGGGGTACCTTGGTTGCTGATTGGCTAATGGTTACACAAGACAAAAAATCGTTATGACATCATAAAGTGGCCAAAATCTGATCAGCTCATTTTCAGACAGGTTTTTATAGAAATGGATCAGGACAAAAAGTGACCAAATATTTTTTCTTGAAACTTTCTGAATCTCTTTACACAGAGGGGACACATGTTGATGTAGAAGAGACATGAAAAAGTGGATTTTGCATATTAGGTGACCTTTAACGATGTAAAAAGGAGTATGGCAAGCAGAAAGACGATATTCAGTGTTTTTTTTAATTTTAAAATATATTTACATATTTCTTTAAGTGTGAAAAAGAACAGCAAGACAGGGGTTTACAGAAACATAAACAAGGTATTTTCCAACAAAAATCCCTCAAAATGGAGGATCCAGAGCTACTCGCATCAAAAGATGAAATATTAAATAGTCTTTTTTGTTTTTTTACCGTTGGTTGTACTTCACCTACAAGGCCAATGCTTTGATTTGGTACTGAGGTTCGTTTAAACCCACAGTTTACAGGGCAGAGATGGCTTTGGCAGCGACTCTCCTCCCCAGCGGCAGGGTCAGGTCGGTGATGGCCAGCACGACTCTAGGTTTGGCCAGAGCTTGCAGCTTCACCAGCTCCGAAACCTGGATGCACAGAAAGACATATACAGATTTGATCAAGCTATAGTGTGTCTGAAGTAAGATTTCACTGGCTCTAATGTTGCACAAGGCAAGTTTTGACCACCTAAAAATACACATTTTCCATCTTACTAAATGCGTAGCTTTATTTATCCATCTAGATCAGTGCTTCTCAAAGTGTGGTTCGCAGACATTGGTAACATTTCACATTTTAAATGAATAAATACATTTCAGTTTTCCGCACTCTCGCGGGAATATCTCCGCAATGGAGCGAGGTTAAGTTTAACTTTCGATTGCATGATATAGCCCAGCGCAACACCTTCATCACACATGTTGCCACATGTTTGTACCATTTTCAGGCGATTTGTAATCTGTTCTAGAAAAACTGTGTTTTTTGATATTTGTGGAGTTAGGTGGTCCGCGAGTGTTTTTTTATTGGTTAAGTGGTCCTTGGTATGAACAAGTTTGAGAAACACTGATCTAGATTCTGTAGAGTTTATCTAAAAGATCGCCAAGAACATCTCTACAGTAACAATGACACAGTAAAGAAGTTACTGGGAGTTATGGGATCTGCAATAAAGGAGCAGAACAAATTGAATACCTTCCCTTCTCATTATCCTCTTATCTTTTGGATATGCATCTTAAAATATGTCCATGATCTAGATGAGAGTAACACCTACATCACTTCCGGGCGAAAATTACAGCCCCGCCCACTCTTTTGGGAAAACAACGCTGTCATTTAAATGGCGGTCAATACAAATTCTGAAGTTTTTGCCAATCCGATCAGAAATGTAAGAACATTTTTGGATCTTCAAAGAGCCCGATTACGATGGCCAAACAATTACATTCAATCATTTGAAATCGACAATCGGGCTCGATATATGCTTAAATTAAAATCAGTAGGCAAGGCTGTAATTTTCGCCGGCTGTTACTCTCATGAGCGAGGTGGAAAATAATAGTTTTATCATGCCAACAAGCTGCTGTGTCGTTTATTGCACCTCAAACATTGAAACAAATCCAGAGTTCAGTGTTTCTGTACTTCCTCTAAGAAAAAAGGACAGTAACAGAAGAGCTCTGTGGCTTCAGGCTTGATCGCCATTCAAATGACAGCATTGGTTTCCCCCAAAAGTGGGCGGGGCCGTAAAGTGACGTAGATGTTACTCTCATCTATGGACATCGATCACCCAGTGCTATATTTAACCATATATCGAGTCCGATCTTCGATTTCCAATGATTTAATATAATTGTTTGCCTGTCTGGCCATCGTGATCGGGTTCTTTGAAGATCCAAAAATCCACTGTTTTCTTACATTACTGATCGGATTGGCAAAAACTTCAGAATTTGTATTGACCGCCGTTCAAATGACAGCTTTGTTTTCCCTCAAAAGTGGGCGGAGCCGTACTTTTTGCCCGGAAGTGACGCATGTGTTACTCTCATCTATACATTAACAGAGGTATGTAAAGCAACAATGGAGTACATTAACATAGTTATGGATATTCCAGCAAGTTTTCAAACAAAATGATTATAATATTTTGGTTAGGAATCCAAGCAACCTTTTCTGTTGTCAGTGTAACTGGGTGTCAGCTGATGATTAGACGTTTGTCAACTCTATAAATCTATATATAACTCTTTAACTGAGAAATCTATTCATTTACAGGCGAGGAGAAGAAGTTTTTTTTCCGTTAAGAATATCTCATCTACCCATTCCTCTATTGCGGGGGAGTGAGAACGTTTCATACTGTTAAGTGACATCAGCTGTCTCTTGCATAAAACAAAACTAGATGACATTCACATGGTGATAAGAGATACAAAAATGTATTTGAAAAACTCGTCAGCAATTTCTCTTTCTAGAAATCATGACCCGGTGACTCAAGATGATCCAAATACATTGTTGTAAGCAGTTTCAAGCAGGAACTCATTTATTTCTACCCACGCATACCAAAGAAAGAGCACCAGCCTCTTGTCCGTAAGTAAACACACGCTTTTTCTACTGCAGGGAAATATGGTTTGTGGTTGTTAGAAGGAAAATAGTTCCCACGTGAAACTGCTCACAACAAGACCTGTGGAATATCTTAAGTAACTGGTTATGATTTGGAAAGACAGGCACTCATCACCACAAGCCAAAGGTAATTTACAGTACAATAAACATCTCTACGGCCGACATCTCAACAGTCTGCAACTCACACTAAAACAGAAATGCAAATAAGAGAGGAGAGACAATATGTATATTGACATTAGCAGTGACGTGTCCGTTCGACTTGTTCCAAACACACACATTTATCAAATTCGGAGCATGGCCCTTGGAAACACACCTTTTATGAAGAAATACCAAACCCTTTCCAGTAATGTGTGATGTGACCTTCCCCTCCTTATCTCTATCTGTCTCCAGCTCCCACCGCGGTTTCTCTTCCCTCCCAGCTGGACGGTAACTCACCATTGTGAAGGGCATGAACTGCAGGATGCTCCCCCGGCTCCCCTGCTCCAGGCACTCAACACACTCCTCCATAAAACTCTGCACAAACTGGGTGTGAGGTCCGGCCATCTTGGAGCCCAGGATGGAGGAAATGAGGAGGAACAGGTTGGCTGAGGAGAAGAGAGAAGGTGGTTCGAATGATTGTCCTGTCTTTGTTAGCATTAGCATTAGAATGAGCATTGACTGTTCTTTCCTGACATCTTCAAGTCATCCTTAAAAACTCACCTGTTCACCATGGCCTTTGACCCCTAACCCATCACAGTCCCCCTGCTTCCACTCCTACTTATTTAATTTTGTACTTTATTATTTGCCCCTGTTCACCATGTAAAGCGGCCTTGGGTCCCTTTAAAAGGCTGGGTCCACACACAAACACACATTGCCACATAAACAAAAACCAACATAAAAAACCCAACAGATCATCTTATGTAATTAACATTTAAGTTATTTAGACAAAGATATCATCCTTTCAACCATCCTTAAAGGGCCCTATTATGCTATTTTTCAGGTTCATAGCAAATAGAAGCCCAAGTGTTAGTGAAGTCACTATGTTGGATTTTATCCTTTGCAGACCATTTACATGCACACAGACCAATAGAATATAATAATAGGGCTCCTTAAAGCCAAACACAAAAATAATAAAATGAGTTCGACATTCAAAGTTCAATTAAAATGTACAAAATACAGATATTTTTAAAGCAACATTTATGGAATGATTATTATGATGTTGAAAGTGATATAACTTGAACGTTGGCATGGGCATCCATTGTAAAAGGAGGGCATGTTGGGCTAATTATAAGCGTGTGGATGTTTAGCACAGAGAGAGTTCTCACCCAGGACTCTGTTGAGAGGGTCCCTCATGTTGACGGTGTGCAGCTGCGAGGCAGACAGCGAGCTGCTCATAGACCGGTCTCCTGTGAGGAAACACATGATGTGAGAAACAGCAGAAGAAATCCCTAGT